GTGGGTACAAACAGGTGGGCAGTAAAGACCGGGTCTTGGGGTCTAGCGGGTGACAGTTTTATTTACATTAAAGTCTGTATTCCATTCTGATTTAACTATCGTATAAACTGTGAGACTTAGGTTTAGGTGGAGTGTTTGTTGCCTATGGATGTTCAGTTACTTCAGCACCATTTCTTGAAAAGGCAAATGTTCCTCCATTGAATTGCTCTTGCATCTTTGCCAGAATTAAACTGGACACACTTCTGAAAATCTCTTATGGGCCAGACCCTGGGCTATCTTCTTTACAGTAGTTTTTTTCTCCTCTTTACAACCTGCAAAATCGTTATTTAGCATCTGTTCTGTGCCAAACACTGTGCTAGTTTGGAGAACTGAGAGAAGAACAAGCCTGCCTAGAATGCTTTACAGAGGAAGAGACAAGCATGAGCACGTCTGCAAAGAGTAGGGAGAACAGGGAGAGCTTTCTAGACTGAAGAAAAAGCATGTCAAACGGCTAGAGGGTGTAAAACAGCTTTGTACATTTAGGAAGCAGTAAGTATATTATAGCTAGAAGGAGAGGAACAGGAGAGAATTTTCTTGTGTTGAGTTTAGAATACCTGTGGATATCTCATTGGAAATAACCAGTAGGCAATTGCCTACGTGGGTCTGGAGCTCAAGAGAGAGATTTGGGCTGGACACTAAGCTTTGGAAGTTGTCATAGTACAGTTGACATTGGACTGCCAGGGGAAAAAAGTATTAGAGTTAAAAGAAAAGAGGGCCAAGGGAACATTTGAAACATTTGCACATTTAAGTGGCAAAAGAACTGAGAATGAATGGTTAAAGAAGTAGGACATTCTACTAGAGTGGTATGTCCACAAGCAGCAAAGGTGAGAAATTCTGGTTTTTGCTTTTCTGTTATGGGTAACATCTAGCATAAAAAAAGATCTACAAAGAGATTATGTTTCACAAGACTGCTTAAAAAAACTGTTTATTTGAGCTAGAGTTTTCATCAAAATGCAATATCTAAAAAGTTAAATATAAACATGTTAACTGCTATTATGGAGTTTTATAATCAAGTAACTTGAGAGTGGTAACTATATAACATATAGTTTTATATGTTTAAAAACTGAGGGAAAAAGGCAATTAGGTCAAGTCTTTATTAAGAAAGCAAAACAAGGGGTGCCTGGCTGGCTCCATCTGAGGAGTGTAAGACTCTTGATCTTGGGGTTGTGGGTTGGAACTCAACGTTGGGTGTAGAGATTACTACAAAAAAAAAAAAAAGAAAGAAAGAAAGAAACTTTGGAAAAAAGCAAAACAAGTATATTAGGAAATTCTTTTAATTATTAATACAAAATAACTTCCACCTGCATTTCCCCCAAATAATTTGGATTTCCACTTTAAATTCAAGAACTGGTAAATCCACATGTTTTAAAAAAAAACAACAAATAACTACTCCTCTTTATATTGTAGTACCCTTACTAACACAGAATGCCCCTGCAGTGGGTTGAAGAGTGTCCCCCGCCCAAATTCATCACCACCCTTATTTGGAAATACAGCCTTTGCAGTTGTAATTAGTTAAGGATCTTGAGATGAAATCATCTTGGATTTTAGGGTGGACCTTAATTTCTCTGACTGGTGTCTTTATATGAGAAAGGACACGAGATTTGGGCACAGAGAGATACACATAGAGGGTGGCAATGTGGTGAGGAGGCAGAGGTTGGGAGTCTTGTGACTGTAAGTCAAGGAACACCAAAGGATTGCTGACAACCAGAAGCTTTCTCCAGAAGGTAGGAGAGAGGTGTGGGGCAATTTCTGTCTCAGAACATCCAGAGGAATCAACTCTGCTGACACCTTGATATCAGACTTCTGGCCTCCAGAACTCTGAATGAATGCATTTCTGCTGTTTTAAGCCACCCAGTTTGTAGCAATTTGTTACCCCTATCTCTCACCATCTTCCTGGGCCCCCAAAGGTATCAGTAGATAAATACTTTTTTATGTTCTAAAAGAAAAAAAAAACATAGATTTTTTTATCATTGGCACTTACTATACGGGGAGAACAATATCCACAAAAGTCTGCTGAGTTAGTTCTAAACAATTCTTTTTTTTTTTTTTTTTTAGGATTTTATTTATTTGACAGAGAGACACAGCGAGAGAGGGAACACAAGCAGGGGGAGAGGGAGAGGGAGAAGCAGGCTTCCCGTGGAGCAGGGAGCCCGATTCAGGACTCGATCCCATGACTTTGGGATCATGACCTGAGCTGAAGGCAGACGCTTAACGACTGAGCCACCCAGGTGCCCAGTTCTAAACAATTCTAAATGCAAAGTGGTTGTTTTTTTTTTTTTTTAATTTTATTTATTTATTTGAGGGAGAGAGAGGGAGAACGAATGGGGGGGGGGGCAGAGGCAGAGGGAGAAGCAGAATCTCCACTGAGCAGAGAGCACTACATGGGGCTTAATCCCAGGACCCTGGGGATTACGACCTGAGCCAAAGGCAGACACTTAACCGACTGAGCCACCCAGGTGCCCTGCAAACTGGTTTTATTTAAACAAGCTGCTAGTTATTTAGCTTTGTGCTGGCTATTTAATGTCAGTTTTTCTCGATCCTCTCCCAATTAATGTTGAACGGTGTAAGTTCATTTAGTCGGTTAATATTTGTTTCCTAAAATCAACACAATCTTGATTGGTCTGTTGGGAAAAAAGGGCTGAGATTGGGGTTAGTGATGATTGCCTTAAAACCAGTCAAGTGTCTGCATTATTCAAAATCCCTGGAGTCTAAGGAGTCTAAGAATACTTTCTCATTGGAGTTGTTCACTTTGCTAATATTTACTTGTAAAAGGGAAGCTTGAAACTATAAACTACTGATAACTGTTTAACATAATAATCATAATGAAAACACATTTAATTGACCCATCTCTGGCCTGGTTTTAACTGGATGCAGGGTTTTGGTAATGTGTCCTCTTTAGGATTCAAGTGGTTTTTATTTTATTTTATTTTATTTTAAGATTTTATTTATTTATCTGACAGAGAGAGAGAGAGAGCACAAGCAGGGGGAGTGGCAGGCAGAGGGGGAGGGAGAAGCAGGCTCCCCACTGAGCAGGGAGCCTAATGTGGGGCTC